TGATTTTCAGCTGGTTTCTCAAAGAGTCTAATGAGCCATTTTTCATATTATTTGTGCACACTACTCTTAAGTGGTCTTTATGGTTCTTACATTGTATATGTATTGCAGATCAGTATGCAATACTTGCTAAGCTTCAGACGAAAGGGAAGAAACAACACTTGGCAAAAGTATATTTGTCAGTTCGTATGTCTACATCTCTCTCTTTTTAATGGCCTAGATAATTAGAATCTATGAGAAAGCCTCTTTCTGTTTTACATAAATTATTGAGATTTGATGGTTACAGAGTCTAGTCCAGAAACTAGAATTGTATTACAGCCATTATCTAATGATTTGCAAGACACAGAGAGATAATAAAATAAAATAAACAGCTCACAAATAAAACCTCAATTTGAGTTGTACAGCCTGTTAGACTGCTAAAATTGTAGTCATGTTTTTGTACATCTGAACTGTACTTGCATAAAAAAAAATAGATATGGAAATAAAACTTGGAAGCTTAAACATATAAAATCCCATTTAATTTTCTAGAGATTCTGATTTTTTTCTTCATTGAAAGTAACCTGTATACTCAAGGCTTAGTAATCAAAAGGAAGTAAAAGTACAGCTTATTGATAGTCAGTTATTGAAGAGTTCACCTCTCTGTGAAAGTAAAAATAAATTTATTAAATTTTCCCCCACTAATGCAGTTCGGAAAAATGCTATTTCTAACATACTAATTTCAAGAACATAATTTACACATTAAAAAAAAGTGTGAAATCCTGTTAAAATCAAAAGAGATCTTGATATTTAGAAGCAGTTTTGAAGCAATAAAATAAATATGTTACGTTCCTAAGCTTGCAATCAATTCAAGCTTCAAGCATAAAACAACAAAATCACTCAAATAGCCTAGTAACTTCTAATTCACATTGTATATAAAAGTCAATCTATTCCTGAACCTACTGTATATGAAAAATACTAGCCAAGTGGTTCTATAAAACAGAGTTCTTAGAATAAACTTCCTCATTATTCAAATGTATCTTATATGTGGAACATAATTAATTTATGTGGCCTTTAAAACTGAACTGTGTGGTTTCTGATTCATGTATGTATTTGACAACTGATGCGTTTTCAGTTGTGAGTCAGGTAAGTGCTCCTAGTTTGCTGGCTAGAAGACCAAACCAGCATGTTTTCTCTTTATTTTCCACATTAAAGTTGGTCTAATACCTAACAGCAGAAAGAATTATATGTATAAAACTCAAAGACAGTGAGCGAACCTGTGAAAAGCAGCAAGGCACAATATTTTCTTCTTATTCACCAAAACAACCACTGAGTATAAAAACCAAGTAAGAGTTACCATGCTGGAAACCCTCCCCCATGTAGAAGAGGTTCAAATACTGCAATTTAAAGGTTCCTTTCATTAAAAATGCTCTGTACACATAGCCCAAAATTTAACTTTTTTGCAAACATGATGCCCTCATTTTTTGGTGTGTTTTAGGACAGAAACAACAGGGAAAGATGCTCTATTATTGATCATTGTGGACTAATAGGCTGAAAGAAACCTGGAGCGTGGACACAACCTACACAGAAATATGCACAAATCCTATTTTTAGAATTTTACTAACCACACAGAAGGCAACACAGGGGTACACAAAACTAAGCCTAAGCAAGGAGGTGCACAAAGTTCTTGTCTCATCACTGGTTTAGACTGTGAGACTAAAAGAAGCAAGATTTAGTAATAGGAATGGAGAGGACATTGACACTATGTGCAGCTATGGAAAATTTGGAAGAATCTTGCTGGAAATAGCACCTGTGAGCATCACTGAAACCTGTTTACATAAGGGAGCTGAAGGAGACAAATGGGAAGGCTGGTGTGAGCATGGACGGGGGAAGAGAAAAGGGCTGCACCAGATGGATTGCTGTGGTTCAGCAATTAGCACTTCACTAGCTGCTTGTGGTGATTTTTTTCCTTGGCTATTGGGTCTGTTTTTTTCTGCAGAGTTATGTAGTAGTGATTAAAAAGAAAAAAAAAAAAGGTTGGTGGGAGATAGAAATTTCTCCTTCCATTACCCAGAACACCCTGTTCCCTGCTAAGAAGAGCACAGTGCCTGGCTGTGGGTGTTCTAGGAGCTATACTTAATACATCTTTTGTTATTCAGCATTTTTTAGCTGCTGATGAACCACTCCTGTAGAAGAGAACACATACAGGTTTAGGTATCACTAAGAAGAATTGCACTCTGAAGTCTTCTTTAAAGGTGTACAAAGAGTTTACATCACAGCACTTTCTTTTTCACTTACACAATTCCTAAATCCTACCCAAACGGCAGTAATGAGTAAAGGTACAAAAATATTAGAGCTATACCAGTAACATAAGAAGAGCAAGGGCATGGGTTTGAGCACAGTCCCACAGCTGTCTGTGCTGTCTAATTATAAATATGATTCCTGGCATGGTATTAGCCAACAGTGCTCTGCCCAGCCAGAGAACAGGCTTTCTCAGTTTACTAGTGTAAGTGAAGCCCCACATGGTTTGGCAGGGAAGACTGGAATATGATTAAGTCTATGGCATGTCAAATGGAATTTCTTCCTGAAGAGATTTGGAAAAGGAGGTAATTTGAAAAATTGTTGGTCCTTTGAATCCAGGCCCTTGCTACCACAAGGACCCCATTAGAGAAATATTTTCCCTAAGTCTGCTAAGATTCTTAGATTTCTTGGTTTTGTTCCTGCCATTCCCACTGGAAAGATGTTCCAGAATGTGACCATTAATGCAGCCCTTTGAAACTGGTCTCCTCAATGCTCTCATTTATAACCTGATCCTACTATATTAGACAACATACAGCACCATGTTGCAGAAGCTCTGCCTCTGACTCCATAAGCCAGCCCCTGTTTTTCTCTGCTGCTTGCTTAGCTCTTTGATACTATGATTGGGAAATACTGCTCCAGTAGTTAAATTCCTGGTGATTTCCACATTCTCATTAGTTTTTGAGCCAACACTAACCTTTGGCTTTAAGTATTCTCTCCCTTCCTTTCTGTTTTTACCCTACTAATATTGTCAGCAACCATATTGTCTACTTTTTAGCTTTGCTAAGCTTAATAGAACAGATTCTTATGTGGAACAGATGCACATTTCTATCTGAGAGTTTTAAGCCTAATTTGGAAAATATCATCTCCTTCTCTACATTTTCACTCTGTATTAGTTGGTGGAGAGCTCTGGGAGAGTTCCCTGAGCAGTTGCTGGGAAGCCACACCAGCTGAATGCCCTGATAAGGTATGGATGACAGATAGCTACGTGCTAGGTAAAATTTGGAATGTTTTCAAAAGTGCTAAACTCTGTAAAAAAGCTTTTCTAATTACTACTGTTGCAAGAGTCTCCTGACTTTTGTCTCTGTTTGTTGTTCTACTTAGTGTTTAAAAATTGCTAGCAAAAAATTCACTCTGCTCCATCCTACTCTGTGAATTGTCAAAATGATTCACACTTGGGTCCACTAACCCGTACAGCAATAGGATTGGGACAACACCAGTGCAGTAGGTCTGCAGTTCCCTTTGGGTGTAGGAACAAAGAGCATGACAAAGGCAAGGCCAAGATTAGGTTTGCTGCTGTGACAGCTCCTTGGCCTTCAGCTTCCAGCTCACAGAGCTTCTGAAATTCTGACGTTACAGATCTGTGATATCTCTGTGTGCAGATGCTTTGTGCATGCTCTTGCCAGGCCTAATTTGCAACTTACCTGTTCATGCTGCTTAAGTTTTTTGCATAGGCTCATTTTGGGCTTAAAGAAAAGCACAGGCCACTGCACGCAAGCATGCAAGTGCTCCTTTTAAACTCTGGCTTGTTTAAAGTAGACTTAATTTAACCATGTATAACACATTTAAATGTCTACCAGTAACAAAAAGCTTTATCCAGGAGACAGGTAAGACCCACTTACTATCCTATCAGCAGACCATGACCCAGAGAGCGCAGATACCTGAAACAGAGTTAACAGTGAGGGTCGCCACAGGAGCGAGAGACCTGCCCGTGAGATGGCTGCAAGTTCCCCTGTCACAGCTGGAAAAGTTACACTGCCCAAGTCACTGCTAAGGACCTGCTTCTGCCAAGCATGAGGATATAATGCTGGCTCACCACATAGACAAGATGAAATAGAGATGAGGAAGAGAAAAGCCTAAGGGACTGTCACAGGAGAAAGCAAAGCTGGCTGCCTCACTTAGCATCAGTTATACTCATTGGACCAATATTTTCCCCCAAGTCATGCCCAAGTAAATGCACTGAACAGCTAGGGAACAGCTTTTATGGATTTAAAATACTTCTTTTTCCCCAGTACAGTATTAAAAAAATAAAAGTTTCTTTTCAAAATACTGAAAATATATTTTAGTTAAGGTAAAAATACTAAATATAAAAATTTCAGGTAATATTTAAAATAACTGTGCTATAAAGACAAGTAAATTGCTTAGTTATTTTGACATTCAATAATGGCACGTTAACCTTAGTGGAGAGGCATGTGCTAGTATCCCCACATGGTGGTTTAGGAGAGAAGGTCATGCATTTCTGCATAGAAAACAAGCCTGCTTAGTAAGTGACATGTGAGGGATTTTGAGCATTAATGTTCATGCACTTGTGATGCACTGGGGGGTGTTGCAGGTAAGGCAGCACAGTATACAGAGTACAATGCAGCACAAATACTTCTCTGTGCTTATTACACTTACAGGATTCTCTGCTTCTGAACCAGAAATATTTTTTCTATTTTTGTTTTTGGCTGACAATGAGAACAGGTTGAAGGTGAAAATCTGTATTGATTTTCATTGGCTCTGCTCATGTCTTTTGAGCTGGACATCTGAAAATTATTTGGAATGAGATGAAGAAAATATGCTTGCAGCTGTTTCCAGGGGGGAATTATGGTTTAGATGATGGACTAGAACATGTCTGCATTTCAACACAGAAGGACCATTTGGAAATTGAGACAGTAAGAACAGGAGAGCTTTTTGAAACATGCACACAAACATAGCTAGATAATAACTCGTTTGTGTATGAAAAAACCTAAAAGCTGAGACATTTATTATGATCATCATCATCACTGTTATTTTTATAGAGCAACAAAATGATAAATTAATTTATCCATGTTTTCAAGTGGGGAAGCACCTGCATATCTGCTATGAATGAACAGTAGCTGGATGTATTAACGCATGTATCAGTTAACTGCAGGTTGCAGAGATCTGGTATTTCAATGCCATTCTTTAAATGTCACAGAATAACAATAATAAAGTACCAAATCATGCTTCAGCAGCTAGAGAGAGAGAGAGATTGAATCGATGGCAGTGACTTGATCATGAAACACTGGCAGCATTCAATATTAGAAAGATAAAACGGCAGCAAAACTGGTCAGCAGCTTCTCTTCGTCTGGAGTTTTCCCAGGTAGATAAACAAAACAAAACCAAAACAAACATAAAGCTGCAACAGGAGCAGGTCAAATCCCTGGCCCTTGCATTGCTCTGATAAAAGTAAACTAGATTATTTCCATGGATAAGCACATCACAATCCCAAAATAAAAGATAAGTGCATAAAACCTCCAAATAACGATCTTGCTAGGACAGCTATGTGGTTTGTTTGGGACAGTGGCCTTGTCAGCTACATGTCTTGTTCATTTATGGTTCATCTTCAGTCAGCACTTATGATGCATTCACCTCACTGGAGTTTTGGCTGGATGACACGTGACAGTCCAGATTCTCCTTGAATTTCTCCAGATCATGGAAATATGGGTGAGAAAGGGCAACATATGCAGATATTCTTTTGGCTGGGTTGAACGCTAAGCATTTCTGAAAGTATGAAAAGAAGTTAATGTAAGTTAACAGTGCTGTCATTCATACATACATTAATGCATACCACCTTCAGCTTATGATCAGTATGAGACACAACAGGGTCTCAGAAGGTGGTGCACAATGCCCATCCATACTAAAACAAGCAGTAGGGTCACAGTATAAGAGTATGGCCACCTCAAAAATTACATGCTAGAAAATTCAAGTATTCCTAATTTATAAAACCAAAGAATACAGGTTTTCTTTAATTCACATGCACAGGACAGCCTTCATCTGCTTATGCTGTGTGTTCAGTTTCTCCCTCATCTTCCTAGCTGCACTTTGATGGCCCTCCTTCCTGATCTGTATCCCAGCCTTTGTACAGCCAGCACTGAAATCTCTACTCTAGCCTTGTGTTTATACCTTGTTCTTTATGGCATTCACCTCCATGAATTATTCTTCGTACTGTTCTTGTCTAACCAATTCCTAGTCCTACTTTCTTTTCTTGTATCAGAATTACTATCATTTCACTCCTGAAATTTAATTCAGTGACTTCCAGTTCTACTCTCCCCTTTCATCTGTGGCTCCCAGTTATCATCTCTTTTCCTAGCAGGAACAGATCTCTTTCCTACTTCACCTTCTAGGCACAGATATTAATCTCCTTCCTCCCTCCCCCTCTCCCATCATGCCTCAGACTCACTGAGCTCTTGGCCATATATTATTCCTTCTTGTTCCTAGAATCTAACTCTTGCCCCATGTCTAGCTTCCACTTCCAGGCTGTCTGCAAGCATAACAGATTTTTCTCAAAGCAGTGTTTCTCCCTTGTCATTTCAAATGGCCAGATGTAGTCCAGCTTTCTGCAGCTGGGAGCTGCCATCATGAGGACACTGCAGGGACCATCTGCTGCTGAGACAACCTTGGCCAGAGACAGCAGCTCCTGAAGAGATGCATCAAGTCTTTCAAGAATTGCACTCTACCTAGCTCACATGAATCAAGATCTTTAGAAGACTTCCAAAGAAAAATATAACTAGATTTCAACAAGCACAGCATAAAGCAAACTGATGCAAGGTCATTTCCCTATATTCCATTTCAAGACTGAATTTCAGGACTGGGATTTCTGATTTATCTATAACAATGATGGAAATAGCTGTACCAGCCCAATTCTTTTGCTTCTGTTCAGCCTTGCCATTTGCAAGAGGCAATAATTGGTGAATTCCAAGCGTAAAGTTTTCAGCATTCAGTAAAAGACTAGCAGATGTAATCTGCCACTACAGTCTACTTCCTGCTTTATGCTGGGTCCACAACAGCACATGAATGGTAGATCCATTTTTGTACTCGCATCAGGCCAATACTGTAAGGGTGGCTGCTGCAGTGGCACTACAGGGGTCAGTAATGAGGATCTAATCATAAGGTCTAACGACAGGTCAAACACATATGTCTCTGATCTAGTTTCCTAATCTTGAGCTATTCTCAGCTCTGACATCTCTTGAGCCAAAGGCAGTGTCTTTGTGCTGTTTTTTCACAGATTAACACAAATTGTCTTATCTATTTTTGACCTTTTTTTTACTAACTCCATTAAATGGAAACTTCATTTTTTTCCTGGCAAGCTGCATGCACAGTGGGAGCCATCAGTCATGTGAGGCAGGGAACAACAAATGGAAACTCACAAGAAGCAAGTCTTTGCCTACTTCATCGATATCTGGTACAAATTTTTCAATAGGTTGTGCGGGTCTGGAAGTAAAAGCATTTCTTGGAAGGGCAACATCATTAGGCCAGTCCTCTTCTTCTGGGAGTCCAATTACACTGCAAAATGAAAAACAATGTTAGGTCTGAATATTCATGCAGTTTTCCCTTCATATTGATTACACTGAGTGGCATTTTATAAGTATTTTAGTTTAAATGAGTTTAAATGTTTAATTCTACAGTAGTACAATAATCTCTGTGAATAGAAGCTGATAAACATATGCCTTCAATGTGCTCGGTTGAAATAATTTTGTGGGCAGCACAATTTTCTGGCCTAAGTCTCAGTTTTCTGAGTCTTTTTATTGAAAAAAAAAGCTGAGTGCTTTAGAAAAAGGTTGTTTAGCTCTTGACTGGATGGTGCAACATATGTCACTCCAGGATGATTAAAAGCAGTAAGTTTCAAAGGGGAATTGCGTGCAAGGATCTTTTTTCACAAGAATAGGGACTGAGAGAAGAGTGTGGGTCAAGATGAGGGTAAGGCAATAAAAGGGATGTTTCATAATGCTTCAAAGCTCTGTGCAGTAATTGTTGCCCAAATTTAAACAATTTATTTCCTTCACAATACAGGTTTTAAAGTCTCAATTTAGAAATGGAAAGGCACTTGAGTGTCTTTGTGGTCTTGCTTTCAATTGTATTTTAGTTTTTCTTTACTCTTTAAAAGAATATTTTAATTTCTTTAACTATTTTATTTCTTTATTCTTTAAATTATGTAAGATATTTATACTTATTAAATAATCATGCTGAGTTCTAAAGCTCAAATAAATGAAATAGGTAAATCACCAACAATGAATTATGTCTCATACATTTCACATTTTAGTCTGATGTTAATATTTGTGGGGTTGAAAGCCAGTTTCTGGTGGAAATTATGAAAAAGATCATACATTACGTGTTTGGTTTCAGGGAAAATAAATTTTTATAACCTGTAAAATCGAGATTTTCAATGGAAACACTTACAGGGTAAGGCAAGAAAGAACAGAAAAACGATGTCACTGAATACTTGGGCTTGCAGAAAGGCCAGTGCCACTAGGGAGCAGCATTGACCTTTTTTCTACTGAGTTTGTCACAAGACTGGGTGAGGCCGTGGGCCAACCACATGGATGTAAATCATAGGGTACCTCAGCAAACGTAATGGAATTGCTTCACCTCTACCTATGTGGATTTTAGATTGTAATTTGGCTTACCTAAAATACCTCTGAAAATTAACATGTCCTCAAAATAACAGCATGGTTGGAAGGGCAAAGCAATTACAGTCTCAGGACAATTAAATCCTACTACATCTGGACATATCACACCTCTTGGGAAATGCTAAGCTGAATCTGTATGAGAAACCACATTTGCCATTTATCAGGTGCAGTGTGGCTATGGGGCAGCCTCCTTGGCCATGGCAGTTCAAGCCTTTTGATTAGGTATTTCAGGATCTGGTCCCATATTTAATATAATACAAATAGCATCAAGGATGGGAGAGTTAAGTATTTGAAATAACAATGACATTTATCTCATCATTCAAATGTGTTTGGTTAGTCCCACTGCTTTGTACGACTGCATGGCAGAGCAGAATGGGGCAGAATAAGCACAGGCACAGGCAAAGCTAATGGCAAGAAACCAGGAGACAGCCTGGCAGAGAGGGGTGGGCTGGACAAGACAGAGTGCAAAGGAGAGACATTTTTAGTTACACACATGTAGTACTCAAAAGCCCTTAATAATGAATGTCTGAGGAGCTGCTCCCACTCTAATGGTCTGGTAGCATCACCATTTCAGTGACTAAGTTTGGGAGTAGCTTGGGAAAGTTTCACCTCCTGCCAAAGGTTCAGGCCTGGTCTTGAGAAATGCTGAGTACTTTCCACTCCCATTGATCACAATGGGAGACAAGCCTGTTCAAACCATTGCAGTTCAGCCTGAAATCTCTGAGGATATGCCACAAGCTGGTGGTGTCCCAGAAAAGCAAGAAAACATTTCGAGCCACGTATGAGGGATTTACCCTCATATACACTGGAATTTTACTGACACAAATCACAATGCACATGAAAAGCAAAGGCAGACCTAGCACCATTATCTGAAAGAATACATCAGTCCAGACTGCATAGAAATCCTGAAACTTCCTTCTGTCCAAACTGATCTCTAGAATGAGTCACAACTGCAGAAAGGAACAACCCTCCTACAAGAAGAGCTAGGCCTAACTGTGGGGGGTTCTCCAGCTGTGAAAACACAAAATAAACACTGTTTGGCATAACCCCTCAGAATCCAAGACTATTCTCAACTATTTAGGAAGAACTGTACAAAAGAAGCAAATCTGAACTTTCTCTTTAAGTAGATGTGCAATAAGGAATTTCTTCTAAATTTAGCACAGCATTTTCTTTTCTTAGTGAATTCTTTTCTGCACAGGTAATCTCAGCCCCTAGGGATGGAAAGATCCCTGTTGGAGGCTGCCACTAGCAGCTATGCATTAAATCCTAGCCCAGTTAATTTTAATTTTCCCCTTAAATGTCACAAATGAAAGAAATAATAGCTATGTCTTTTTTTAATTGTAAACTATGTTGTATGTATCAAAGCTGGCTTCATTTATTAAAGCAGAATATTGCAGGACTAAAGTAGTAGTTTTGGCAGAAGAAGAAAAAGTAAACTGTAAGGACTGATTTTTCTGGATTGGGCAGGAAGAGCTATTTAGCGCATGACAAATTAACCACACAAGTGAGTCACATACTCATGGTATGGTATGCAGGAAAGGGAAGTCAACTCTGTGAAATCAAGACCTGTAATTTAGAAACCCCACATTGAATAATGAAAATGTTTAGAAACAGATCTGTTATGATTTGAGAACTGGAAACAGGATTAAACAGAGAAATTCATTATTTGTTCAGTTTAAGCTTTTCTTAGAAATTTTACTATCTTCTCTTTGGAATATCTTCAAGAAAATAACATTTTGGAATAATACTTCTCTCACTCTCTCTGTGCTAGCTACTTCTTTTTTCATCCAGATCCCTGAATCCCTGCAGCCCCTCCATACAGAAAGGGAAGACAGAGGTGCAGAGGCAAACAGGCATTTGCTCTCTGGATTGGTACCAGCTCTGTGTGGTTTTGATTTCCTACCTACATGATACATGCATACATCAGATCTTATATTTACATGCCTCTTAAAAATATAAAAATATTCCTTAGTCTGAAGAGCTTTTACAAGAAGTAATATAATTCTACTTAATTATCATATTGGTAATATCAGGAACTGAATTTTGGATGAGAAGTATTACATCTCAGAGAGTTTAGAGTCTACCTGCCTCCTAAACATATTTGATGTATCTGAAAAACACAAACTCCTAGAACTGTAAAATAGTTTTAAAATAAAATCATCTCTGAGAAAGCACATATTAAAATGCTGATATTCCTCAGTTCTCACAGTTACCTTCCAGACCAAAATATGGACTGTTAACAGGCTACACAATAAATTTTAAAAGCTAACACATTTTTTTATGTTTGGAAGACTTTTCTGCAAAGATGCTGTTGGTAATGATCTTAGAGATTTCAACTTTTAATGTATTCTAATATTGTTTTCTGCAATGCACAAAGAAAAAAACAAAAAGAATACTGTGTCTGTTTACATGAAGAGAATCTCTTGCATTTAACTGTTTATGAATATGTATGAATAGTACATGCACAGTATGTTTAAGACACTTAAAAAGCCCAAACCCAGAAGTCTCCTAACTTCCTGATGATGGCTATCAGTTTTGCAGAACTATATTCCATGTTGCTTCCTCCTTCCATTCTGACACAGAATACACAGAAATATCATATTGCATGCCATAGCAATAGGAAATATGGAAATTCTAGTCACATTATTGCATAAAGACCTGGCAAAGAAATCTCATAGGGTTTCAATGTTAAACAGATACTGACATAAGGCAATTAGTTATTACTTACTCAAAGATTTTTCCTAGTTGATCAACATCTGAATTTCCACGGAAGAGTGGTCTGAAAAAATAAAAACATGTTTTTAGGATGTGACTTGCTTTCATTAATATAAATTTAAAGCTGACAGTTCCAATGTAGGGTGAAAACGTGGTGAAAACGTGGGGGCTTTTTGAGACTTCGTCTTCTGCTATCTTCTGCTTCCATGCTTTATCCAGTCTGCAAGTGAACCTTTCAAGTTTCTACTAAAACTGGTAACAAAAGGGGACAGATGATATGTATTTTTGAATACACTACTTTTGAAAATTTAATTGTGCCTTTTTGCATGAATGACATAATTTTCCCTCAACTAATACTGTCCTATGAATTATATCATTAACAAAATCATTTTCATTACAAAGAACACTAAAATAGCTGCTAAGAGAGACAAAAACAGAGAATGTCATGCAATTCGTTAAAACATAGTAACATTAGAGATTAATTATTATGAATATAAATTGAAAATTAAATTTCTTGCATACTGCATTTTGGAAATGTGCTCCTAGGTTTAAGGGGTCAAATAAATGACAATGGATTCATGAAGGTCTGTAAACAATGGGGTGTGAAACGGTACAGAATTTACCTTGAAGTAGAGGAATACTTCTGCTGCATAAATAAAGATACATTCAGGAAAGAAACAAATTGTTAGGCTGAATGTCCAAAGGTTTTCAAGAAAAAAAAAACAGTGACAAAAAATACTTCCAGACACACGTTTTTTTTTCAAAGTGCAATTTAAAATATTTTCACTCATCATGTATAAGATGCTATCACCCCTCAATGCCAATGTAAAATATGAAATTCTGATTTGTACGGCAGTATGGCTGTATTGCCAGCTTTGTGTTGAACAACAGTGCAATTTTATGTCGAAACTCCCAAGATATTCCAACATTTTACTGACAGATGAATAAAGATCCAGCCAAGAATGAGGGATCTGTGAAGATCAGGCCACAGATGTAATCTACCACTTTGGTTCAACAAATGGTAGATTACTCCAAGAAACACACCTCACACACACTGCAAACTGAGATAGGAACTTGGGTTGACTGATAGCCAGGCTGCCCTCTCTTCTGGATCTCGGCTAAGTACAGAGTATGTTGTAAAGTCATGGTTACAGTTTCTAGAACTGTTCAGCTGTTCAGTGACTTGACAGACAGTGCATAACCCTCTGCTTCCACAGGCAGCCTTTGGTTTTGGAGGAACACCCATTCTCCTGCCTCTCTCCACAAACTCCTGTCTGATGCAAGTCCATGACACCTGTGACAGCCAAAGGCATCATTTCACTGCTGCTTTTCACAGAAGATCTCTCCCATCTAGACTGGAGAACAAAGAGCAGTCAGCTATGGCCCTTCCCTTCTCACTGCCCATATGCAGGAGTAGCTGTAGGATCTGGATCTCCTTTTGCTAACCCTGAGTTCATACTGAGAAGTGGCAATTTCCATCTTGACACTCTCACAAAGGCACCAGAACTCCATGTCACTGCGTGTCTTGTGGGTCCATTCCAAATACAGTAAGTGGACACAGAGCACTGAGACATTTCTTAGGCATAACAATCTCTGCAGAAATCTGGGCCATCAAGAAAAAGCAGTGAACTGGCAGCCATGCTGTTCTTTGATGAACTAAACATGTATTTTGCCTCCTTCTTGTGTGCTGCCATTCAGGTAATGTCAGATCAACTTATACTCCAAACTGCTTTGTGCAGGGACATTGAGAGAACAATTTAATCAAATCTGATTTGAAACCATCTGACATGAGATTTGATCTGATGAAGTAAAATGTGGTAGCCTGTTACTTGTCCATAAAGGGCTTCATTTATCTTGATTGTGAATAAACCATAAATAACGGGATGTTTTGTTTCCCAGATACACATGATATTTACTAACTGTAGCCACTTTGACAAGACCATTGCAACTCATACTTTGGGATTTCTGGGTTTAAGCTTTAAGGTATATAGCAATACTGGCTTCTGCAAAAACCCAAAGCTTAACCCACTCAGACAGGAGCATCTATTCCTGCCCTAAGCTTTCAGCCTGATTTTCAGAACATTCAGTAGCTACAATCCTAGCATTGCTTGTGGCAGCAGACACACTCTTTATCTTCCAAAGTCAAGCAGAGACATTTTTTGGAACTACTGCTTGAAATTATTAACATACAGTTACTTTGAATATTTAATTCTGGCTCCAGCATTAGATTATTGGGGCCCTTTAAACTAACAAAATCTACACATTCAAATAATCATATCTATGCAAATGGAAAGCTGATTTAATGTTTTAAAATGTATGCTGAACCTTGCATTAATGTGAAAGCCTGGCAATGGCAGCCTTGTTTGCAAATCACCTTAGGCAGTGTCATGCCAGAACAAGTACAATTCTTGGGATTTTTAAGGAAGGTTTTTCCCATCATTGCTGCTGTCTCAAATTCACTAAGGGCTGAAGCAAGAATTTAAGTTCTTTTGAAAGTATAATTATACAATACAAGGTGACCTTCCACCATACTTTGATATTTCATCAAAATGAAGTGTTATTAGTTCATCTTTCAGCCTCCTATCCATCTCACCATCATGACTACAACAGGATGCCAACTCTACGTTAGGCATCACTACTATAATGAAATTTGCCTCATGAATTTTGGCTCAAGGTTCAATTGGAATATTGGATGGATGATTGGGGAAATAGATTCAACTAATCAGCAACTGCACAAAGCTCTCATTTCACATTTTGGCACTAGTTACTCTTTTGTAATGATTTGACAGCTCTGCAAGTCACATAAAAACTTTCACGTCAAGACACTTAAAGATTCCTAAAGGTGGACATCAGCTGTCCCACCACCTTTGAATTGAGAACACTCAGCAGCCACAGAAAAATAAAATTTCACCTTTGTTCTTGGTATCTTTCACTTGACTCATACACCCACTCACTCCCTGAGGTTTATTTATGCAAGCTTGATCCAGAAGTTCTTTCTTGAGCATATGTTCTCCTCTCTGCGATCATAATTTGTGTAAGACTGGTTAAACTCTGGAGCCTGATTTTGTAGAATTCCTTCTTTTTTTCTTCAGAAAAGGCATGGAGCTGGGTTTGCATCCTGTGGCAGGGGATGTGAGTCTGCCCTCTGGCTTCAAAAAACACCTAAAATCTGTGAGTACATGTGTCTCAGGAAAGAGGGACATTCCCATGGATGAAAGAACTATCCATGGGGATGTACTTGCCTTTTTTGTGGTTCCTCAATCCTCTCAAACATCCCTGACTTTGCTTGCTACAAAATCCATGCTCTGAAGGCTCCAACACCATTGTTGTTATGGAACACACACCAAGTAGGGAAGATAGGACAAGAAGATTTGGAGTGCACCTGTGACATTTAATTTCCCTGTTTGCTCAAGGGGTCTCAGATGGTTCCCACATTTGTTGGTTGTTGCTTCTTTGATTTTTCAGGGCAACAGAGCAAAGAAACATGCAAGTGTCCATCTTGTTTGGCTACTCCTTCTCCTGGCTTTGAAGCGAGGCTGTAATCCACTGCCTCTGGAATGATACCCACTGTGTGGAGGAAAAGCCTTTTGGTGTGTGCCAGAACGCCATTAGCTGACAGAGAGGAAGATATGATGGAGGCATTGTATTGCTTACACTGTCCTGCTGAAAGAAACCCCTCCTGAGCCAATAAGCAAGTACCTCAGGTCCTCAGGTACAAAATGTGCACAATTTGGATATTAGCTATGAGTCTGCATTGTGAAAGCAGAAGCACAGGAACACCCTCTGAACATAAAGAAACTTTTTTTTCTTTTACTGTGGGGGTGACCAAGCACTGGCTTGAAGAGGTTGTGGACCCTCCCACCTTGGAGATATTCAAAAGCCATCTGGAGATGGTCCTGGACAACCAGTTCTAGGTGATCCTGCCTGGGCTTGGACCAGATGATATACTCATAGGTCCTTCCAATCTCAACCATTCTGTGATTCTGCGACAGTACAGAAATAAAAATACAGATCACAACGTACGGTTGCAATGGAAAACCTACAAATCCTGAAATGTTACCATCTGCTTATAGTTTAAAAGGGCTTGCACCATTAGTTTTCTGGCCAAAAGACTCCCATGCTTATATACCCCTGAACAAACTAGTTTTAACCATTTACTAACTTTAGGCTCTTTTTCTCTTGTCCATGCCTTAGCTCAGCTTTTGCTCATGCTCATGCCGACTTTCACCTTCACTGAATATTCTTTCTATCTGAACTGGATATTGCTGTCTGAAAAGTTGAGTTCTTTATTTCACAGACACTGTGCTTCATGTCTGCACTGCTCAGTAAAAACTGAGATATAAACATTTCCTAAGCAAGTCTCCATGAAAGAATTTTCCCTGGTGCAACTCTACGGACATGCCAAAGCAATTTTTAGAGTATTGTATACAATGACAATGCAATGACACGCAAGAGATAAATGAGTTTTAACAGTAAACCAGCCACATTACTTCTAGATTTTATTTTCAGACTTTGGTCTACAAAGCAAAGAGAATCTAAAGCTTTTCATAAGGAAAGTTAGAATTTTCATAAAGATTAGAATTAAAGATACTGATAAGCACTGTTCTAGTCAAATATATAATGCAGACATCTATAATGCAGACACAAGGAAAAAACCTAATAAAACCACATGTGTTGCAGCACAGGAAAAGACTTCTGCAGGTTTCTTGACAGTGACTGACATTTTAAACTAATTGATGGCATTCTGATTGGAAACTATCTTTCCATTTCTGACATTGGTAAAATGGACACATGGAAGAAAGGTCATGTGAAGAAAGAATGTATTGATGAATGAAAAAAGGTAAGAAATTCACTTTCTAACCAAAACATATTACTGAGCTCTCATGACAGCTATGGAATTGCCAATACAAGGGCTTCCAAAGCTAGACAAGCCTAGTATCTTTCCAGATATGTAAGAAATAACATAAAAAATAACTACCTAGATTATTTCTGCTAGTCCATTTGCTCATTGTGACAACAGAAGTTAGAATTCCATCCCCTTCCTTGTTATCACAGAAAAAATGA